TTTTATCTGGAGATAAACAATTTGATGCATATTTGAACAAACAGCAAGCATAGAGCTTCCTTAGGCGATCATTTTTTATAATAAATCTATAATTTAAAAGTATATATATATATATAACGTTTGTATATATATACACACAAACGTTAATTTGAGACAGTTTAATTAATTAATTGAAAAACAGACTATAGGTCTTATTTCCACCTCTGCATGATGAATACGTAAAACAGTGTTTTGTTAAATGATCACGTACAGTACAGTACACTAAGTTGAAATCCGATTGATTAATCGTTTGAGAAAGCGACGTTTTCTCAAACTATTAATTTCTTGTAATGTCTGTTTTTATGTACGTATTATACAAGGTGGAGATTTACCTAATACGAATTTCATGATTTTAAATACATTTTTATCCAATTTGAAAGCAATTTTTTCTTTTTTAAATTACTTTCGTTATTATGTTGGTATGTAATTGGAAAATCGATAATCGTTTAACTTTTCTAGCCTTCTAATTATAGTTCTTCATAACTAAGACGAAATATTTCACAGAATATTACAAATACATCAATAAAGCTGAACCATGTAACTTATAAAATATTTAACGAAAGTAAGAGTAAAGATAGAAAACACGATAAACTAAAAGAATAAAATAATGATTTCTAGCTTTATTTGAGTAATGTGCGTTTTAGTCTTTATTAGTGAATTTATTAAAATGAAATAATAATTATACTCTAAACAGAAAAAGAGGTTTTCTATTTATAATTTTCAGTGAACTGACTGAATAGGAAATACTCGAATTGTAAGTTTTATGAGCAATAACAGAGGACATTTAAGTACTAATGTTTACATTTTAAAAATTACATTTTATTATGTATTAATTTTTATCCGTTGTTTTTACGACAAATTATTTTTAAAATTTGTTAACGTGTTAATTGCTGGAGCTTGATAAGCTGTTAAATGACACTTGGAATATAGGAATTCTTTCAGCTTTACATCGAAATTTCTGGACTATGTAGTAGTAACTAGGTTTTCGTATGCTCTGTGCAACATTATTGTTTTATTCGTATACAGTAACGAGACGTGTGGACAATGTGTCGAGGGCGGAATTCCTCCCTGGAGATTTTCCCTCTTCGACATAAAGCCCACTGGTCCCTGTTTAGGTGTCACTAACGTAAAGAAAACGCGACGTGACCAGCCCATTGGCGAGGTGCGGACCTAACTCGTAAGACAAACTACCGGTGTTCAGTGGTTTATCCATTATAGTTTTGGCTTCTTTTTGGGGGGGAAACATACGATAGAAATGGTCAGTTATTTTTTTGTCTTTAACAAAAAAAAGTTACGGAATCGGTTACCACGACGGCAAAATTTAAAAATTGAAAATAAAAATATAATTTTTCGATACTCATTTCAGGACCCTCTCGCCCTATCCCTGTGCATTGAGGCACTTGCCAAATTACGGCACTGTTTCTGGGTTTAAACATTTTATTTTGCGGTTTTTATAATAGCTATAACTTCCTGGCATCCAACTGATCGTTAAGAAGTTGGTATACTGTATTCTTGTTTCCTGCTGAATTTTTTAACAGCTAAAATTTATTTTCTCGAGTAAAATTAAGTTAATCTCGTTTTCTATCTACATCCGTAAGACGGCCGTATGGCCGAGCGGTTAAGGTGGCAGTCTACCGCTCTGGGGAATCCGGACGGCCAGGAATTTTTCGGGGTTTATCCGACCGACTACGTCTACCCCGTTCCTCATTACCCGGTCGCTCCATTATGGGCCTGGCCGAACTCATAATGGGCTTACTAAATGAGGCCCACAGAGCAGAAAGAGTTAATAAAAAATTACGTCCGTAATGTACGTACATTATCCGATAATATCAAAAATTATATCTGAAAACCCAATTAAGTTGTGTACAAAACGGTTTGTATAATAGTGTTATTTCTTATAAACGCTTGAGTGCTCAAACGTGTGTAGCTTTAATCAGGGATAGAAGTTCAGCAGAAAAATACAAGACTCCCGTGTCGGTATATTTTAACACTTAGCTATAGTTTTCGTGACTGGACACACTGATCGAGTTTAAAAGTAAACGCTACCTAGATGATATGCTAGACTCAGAAAGTCCTAATTATTAAGTGTCATGATACATTACGTTAGTAGGTACCTGATATAGGCTGCATTAATTTAAAAACGCACTTTCATCCGAATCGTGTAGAATTAGTGTTGCACAATATATCTTCAAATAAAGATAATGGTAATTTTGAACTAATGCGGAAAATATATAAAATCAAGATACACACTATTTGAACCAGGTAAGTTTCATATTACAAGTTAGATGAGTTAAAGGTAAGATACATAAATAAATATAGATGTTTTATCAATTATATGGAAATTCAAACCCCTCTACGTGGTCACGTTTTCCGGTTCTGTCAATCTCCATGACATTAATTTAATAGATGTAGGATGGCCGAGCAGTAAGGCTGTCAGCCTACCACTCTGTACAACGAATCCAGACGGGTCAAAAAACCAAAGTAAGTTTTGGGGGTAGTCCGTCCCTCACTACCCGGCCGCCATCATTGTAGGCCTGCAGAATTAACGATGATCGTTTTAAAAGATCTTGCCTACAGGACGGAAGGAGTAGAGTATAATAATTTAATCCCCCAATTGATCTAGATTAATCAAGTCGGTTTAACTCACTAGAGTGAAGTCAGCTCACCCAAGAAACAACCCGTTCGTAAAGTCGAACTAATGAAATTATAAGGTACTGGTTCTGCTCAGTGTGCATTTTCTCTGTTGATGTTTCAAGCAAAATTCACGTATGAAGAGTTAGTTTACGTAGTGAAAAAATGGCATCTCTCTATTAATATTTCTAAATTTACTTCGACTTCACAAATTGTGAATTAAAAGGTGAAATGAATTGCCTATGTGAAACACTGAAACATTAACAACAATCGCACCTTCAGCTTTAGAAACAGCAATTTTGTTGTATACGAATCGACTAAAATGTTCACAGAAAGGAATAACTATTGGCGGATTTGCCTGTCTGTTCTAGAGTATTCGTAGAATGCTCTGTTTGTTCCTTCCTATTCGAAGAATCGATAGAGCAGTAGTTCGGATCATTAGCATACTGTGATTAGTTGATTCGGAGTGATGACGTCATTAATCTACTGCTTCGTTTTATTAATTTAAAGCAGTGTTTCTCAGCCTCTAACGAATCGTCGCCTCCTTCAACGTAGTATCGCCCCATTCACTTCAAAATTCTGATGTCGAGAGCCAAGACTAACGTCAAATTCGTACTGCATTGAATAGACTAGTGACTAGTATAATGTTACTTGTTTAATTATTGTATGATATAACGAATAAAATATCTAATTATTCTTAATATAATGTTTTACTATATCGCCCAGAAAATTGTTTTTCGCCCCCAAAATATAAATTGTTACTAATCGCCCCTTCAACATGGAAANATAATGTTATTTGTTTAATTATTGTACGATATAACGAATAAAATATCTAATTATTCTTAATATAATGTTTTACTATATCGCCCAGAAAATTGTTTTTCGCCCCCAAAATATAAATTGTTACTAATCGCCCCTTCAACATGGAAAAACGCCCACATGGGGGCGATATCGCCCCCGTTGAGAAACACTGATTTAAAGCAACATGACACAATGGCGATCTGCCGAGAGGAAATGTTTCCTAGATCTTTCATGGGAAACTGGCCCCTATTTAGGTGTTACTAACTTGAAGAAAACCCGAAAAACTGAGTGACTAACCCGTTGGCGAGGCGCGAACCCACGACCAACTGAGCAGAACTACCTGTTTTCAGTAATTTTATTCACTCGGCCATTGATGGCCCCTGCTGCTCCGAATTCGCCATACGTGCGCATTTGACGTTATTGTCAAATATGCACGTTAACTTGGTGTACATTTTCTACACTAATTCAAAATTCGGTACTGGTTGATATAAGACAAAATATTGTATCCTTTATTCGATGAAGATACAATCGAAACGCGTCACCGAGGTTGATGTCAGTGCAGCAATTCATGGTATCACTGCATGGTTGTCTTTCGTACCAGACCATACAAAGAACATTTTCAAGGATTCTGTAAGTATTATTATCTATCTACCTTCTCAGCAATGCTATATATTTATAATAATAAATCACACACACCTGAATTTTTTGCCGAGTTATTTTTGTTTATTCCAAACTGTAGTAGTAACTAGGTTTTCGTATGCTCTGTGCAACATTATTGTTTTATTCGTATACAGTAACGAGACGTGTGGACAATGTGTCGAGGGCGGAATTCCTCCCTGGAGATTTTCCCTCTTCGACATAAAGCCCACTGGTCCCTGTTTAGGTGTCACTAACGTAAAGAAAACGCGACGTGACCAGCCCATCAAACTACCGGTGTTCAGTGGTTTATCCATTATAGTTTTGGCTTCTTTTTGGGGGGGAAACATACGATAGAAATGGTCAGTTATTTTTTTTTGTCTTTAACAAAAAAAAGTTACGGAATCGGTTACCACGACGGCAAAATTTAAAAATTGAAAATAAAAATATAATTTTTCGATACTCATTTCAGGACCCTCTCGCCCTATCCCTGTGCATTGAGGCACTTGCCAAATTACGGCACTGTTTCTGGGTTTAAACATTTTATTTTGCGGTTTTTATAATAGCTATAACTTCCTGGCATCCAACTGATCGTTAAGAAGTTGGTATACTGTATTCTTGTTTCCTGCTGAATTTTTTAACAGCTAAAATTTATTTTCTCGAGTAAAATTAAGTTAATCTCGTTTTCTATCTACATCCGTAAGACGGCCGTATGGCCGAGCGGTTAAGGTGGCAGTCTACCGCTCTGGGGAATCCGGACGGCCAGGAATTTTTCGGGGTTTATCCGACCGACTACGTCTACCCCGTTCCTCATTACCCGGTCGCTCCATTATGGGCCTGGCCGAACTCATAATGGGCTTACTAAATGAGGCCCNAACTCCAGAACAAGAAAATGTTTATGGATTATTAAAACCCATATTTTTCTCAATTTTATATTTCCAAGCCGTTGGTAATGCTTTTGCATCTTTTGCATTTAGGCATCTGTCCCTCATCTTACTTCTGTAAATCTCTATTTTCTCCATTTCCATTGCGATGGAAGGTGAGTGTCCCGTCCTAACAATCTTATAACAATAAGAAAAATATGGGTTTTAATAATCCATAAACATTTTCATGTTCTGGAGTTTTTTAGTATTTCAAACTCAAAGTTATAAATTTTCTTTTATTTTATTGTTAAATTGAAACGCGATTTTTAGATTACATTTTATCATATATTTAGTTTAATTTATTTATTATACATAAAAGTTGTAATAAGTTCAAATTCAAACGAATTTCGAACGAATGATTCCATTACTACGAAAACTATTAAAACCTGAAGATGGCCTATATGAATTTGGCCGAAAACGTTTGGAATAAACAAAAATAACTCGGCAAAAAATTCAGGTGTGTGTGATTTATTATTGTAAGTATTATTGTATTTTATTTTAGTTTTATAATTTATTATATTTAGACAATGTAAAATATTTTTGTATTTTCTGACCAGAACGCATTAGAAGATTCAAACAGTAAGTTAGCATGGAGCATTTTTATTTGAAGGGTCTCAAATGTCGGGTATTGTCATTGAACTGTATATTAGCCATATACCGTTAGTGCAGGACGCAAAATAGATGATAGTCAGTTGGCGCTAAGTCTGGGCTGTAAGGTGGAAGATGTAGAACTTTCCCGCCCAGAATAGCCAGCTTCTGTCCGGTCGTCATTCTCTATGTGCTGGCAGGTTGTCTTGACAGTATCGGACTTGTTAACTATTGAACGAAGTTCTTTGAACCTGGTATTCAAAGGATTTAATTGTTCATAGTAGAGTTCTTCGTAACAGTGATGTTGATTGGAAACAGCTTTATCATGATGATGCAAATCATCGCCTACTGCATTATCAGCCCTTTAGCATTTGTACCGTGCCCACCCGTGGCCGAGTGGACAAAACTGCTGAACGCTGGTAGTTGATCGTGAGTTCGCGCCTCGCCAACGGGCTGGCCACGTGGAAGTTTTCAGAGTTATCTTCACGTCAGTAACATCTAAATAGGGGTTAGTTTCCCATCATAAAAGACTTCCCAGGAGGCATTTCCTTCTAGGCAGATCGCCCATGTGTCCATTGCCTTAATCGAATAAAATCAAGCCAAACATTTGAACGTTTTGCAGTAGAGATCGTAAGTCTTCATTGCGTTGTGGCCATTTTTAAAGTGCTAAAGCAAGAGTACGCGGATGTATTCTTTCGAAAGTTTCATATTGTCAGACATTGCTGATGCATCTATTTTCAATGAAATAAGTGATGAAATGCCATTTAGTTACTCTATATACCCACACCAAACGTTCTAGAACATATTTTTCTAGTTGTTTCTAGAAAAAGTAAATACATAAACGTTATATTTACAATCTCATTGATGCTGAATGTACAGTACGGGCACATTAACCTGCTGGAAAATGAATTTTTTGTCTATCACATCATTTCAGAGAGAATAGTTTCTTAGTAAATGATATTTTCTTGCATTTAATCGCTTCGGCACAAAGGCAGTAGAAAAGTTTATTTGACGGTAAAACTTTGGCTCCCTTTTGATGGAAAAATAAGAATAAAAAACAAATACTATCAAAAGGATCAGTTAATTTTTAAGTATAACTAAAACTTTTAAATTTTTATATCGCAATTCAGAGGCTTCCTTTTTTGGGGATCCTGCAACCATACACCTATTGCTCCTACTTACGGCACTAGGTAAAAAGCAGTCCAAATCATTACCAATTCATCTACATGTGTGCACTTAATTATATGTTTCACTGTATTTAAGCATAGTGGTACAACCATGATGGCGGGAGAAACAAAAAAAATCATACAAGATTATATAACATATCCGTTAATACAAGCAAATGTATACAACTTTAACTAAAATACAATAGTAAAACAAAAATTAAATTTATTCTAAACCGTAAAAGTGGGAGAATTATCCAAAAACAAAATAAATAATTACCAGAAACATAGGTTATATCTTACCTAGAAAATAAAAAATAATCAGTTTAGTCTCTTATTCACAAATCGGATAGTCTCCTAGTGTAGTAAATATGATAATTTATTGTTTAAAAAAGTGCCAAGCATTTTACAAATTAAAAACGGGCATTGTTTATTGTGACATCGTCACACTGTCGGGCTGTAATTTTTAATTTATTTAACTTAAAATATATGATATCCACCTCAAATTAGTAGTGTCTTTCCCCTGTACTGTACTGTACATCATACTTTTCCTTTAACAATAGAGCCGTGCTGGTTATCTATTGTTTGTTTAGTTATGGCAACGCAACATTGGGCGATCTGCCTTCCGGGAGGTCTTTTTAAGGGAAACTGGCTCCTATTTAGGCGTTACAGACGTGGAGAAAACCCGGAAAACTCCACGTGGCCAGCCCGCCCGAGCGAGGCGCGAACCCACGACAAAACTCCCACAGCTGATTGCAGAGACAGAGTTTACGTTAAACGTCGTTTATCAACAGAACGTCCTATAGACGTTGGCTGGCTGAACCGCGGTTTAAAATGCGTTGCAAAGACGACGATCGTCTATTTCTGATCGTTCTCTAAACGAACTTCGGCAAAACATTGGCTCTTACTTCTCTATTACTCCCCTGTTTTAGGAGTCGTTCGGCCAATCGGGTTATTTGTTTGCGACGTCAGAAATGGTCGCCAGCTATATTCCTAAAGCTTGCAGAAATAAATCTTAAGGCCGTCAAAACCATTGTTCGGCAATTAATGACAATCCTTTTCCATTTCGATATTTAATTTCGTCGCCAATACGGTTTAAAATATGAACAAATCCATATTTAGAAAATTTATACCGAATTCGAAATTCGTCTTCGGAATAGATTTTTAAGGAATTATTTCGACATCTTATTANCATTGTTCGGCAATTAATGACAATCCTTTTCCATTTCGATATTTAATTTCGTCGCCAATACGGTTTAAAATATGAACAAATCCATATTTAGAAAATTTATACCGAATTCGAAATTCGTCTTCGGAATAGATTTTTAAGGAATTATTTCGACATATTATTACTGTCGAAATGGATAATTTTAAATATTTTATTATTAATATTACATTTTTTTAATATCTATAAACAGATTTCTGTAATTATTAAAATTGTCTCGTTTGTTTAACAGTACAATGACTCGGAAAGCATTAACGTTTTATAACCGACACAATACTCGAATTGTAAATAAATGCATCTGATTTAAATTAATTAAAGTTTTAAGTCTTCACCCATTTCAATATCGAAATTGGAACGTTTAAAACAAATTTAAAGTATTTAATTTTGTTGTTGTTGCTCCAAGCAATTAATTAATGAATAATTTTGTCGGTTCGTACCGTTTACAACATTTATCAAAGGAACGATATCTGGTTTTATCTAAACTTTTTCACAAGCAAAGCTACCACTCAAATTAAAAAGCACTCTAAACCCGCTGCCGAGTGAGTCTAGAAAATAGGTCAAATAACTTGTTTCTAATAGCTGTCTACATTGTGGCAGGTGAGAAACGCCGTCTCTGCAATGAAATTTTTCTGAACAGCGGTCTACCCGATCTGTAAACCGCCGTCGGTCTCTAAACGTTGTCTCTGCAATCGGCTGCCAGTGTTCAGGTACTGGTGGGTAGCTTGGCCACTGGTGGGCTGCTGGTCATCTATCGATATTAACTGCTTTCAAATGAAACGTTTTGAATTGAAATAACGTGACTTCCGGTTTGCAACGGAAGTTCGCGTATAATTAACCGGCGCCTCCTGTCCCCAAGTTCCCATATTTTGTCTGGTATTTCTGTCTATCTCCGTTCTCGAATGTAAGGAAATCGAACGGACGGACGACGGTGGGAAATTATAGGTCTACAATTTTATAATTAGACTAGCTGTTACCCGCGACTTCGCCCGCGCGGATTTTGCAAGCAAAACCCATTTATATTCAGTACAAGTTCGGACACTTGCACTGCGTATCTTGCCGACCACGCGACTGCGCCGCGCGGTTGCCTATCTCCTATAGGTAACCGCGCGTCTTGCCCCTCGCCACCCGCTGACACCAAAAATATAACGCTTACCTAGATGATATCTTTTAATTTATATGAATATTTAACGGAATAATACACAGCCTACGTCCACCCTGAAGGTCCATTCTAAATATTGGCGAAAGAATTTTTGAAATCGGATGAGTAGTTTCGGAGATTACCTCCTACATCCAAACTTACAAACTTTACCTCTTTATAATAATAGTATAGAAGTATAGATAATTTTAGAAGTATTTCCATTATATACTGTTTTGAATAAATTNTCCATTCTAAATATTGGCGAAAGAATTTTTGAAATCGGATGAGTAGTTTCGGAGATTACCTCCTACATCCAAACTTACAAACTTTACCTCTTTATAATAATAGTATAGAAGTATAGATAATTTTAGAAGTATTTCCATTATATACTGTTTTGAATAAATTATACCTGTAATTATATTGACTTACGTAATTTTTTTTATCCTTACCTTATTAGCAAGTCAACAATTTTCCTATTAGGATATTATTCTATCAAACACGTAGTTATAATTTTCTAGCGAACAATAACACGTGAAGTCAGTTTAAAAGGTAATTTTTTCTAAATAAATATTTATTTTATCAAATATAATCTCTATCCTTGGAATTAAATTATGTATTCTTTAATAAACACTAAATCGAATTCACAAAAATTATTTCTTCCCTATAAATAGAAGTCAAGTTGAAATTAATAAGTGCCATAAAGCTAAAGAGAGTAGATTAAAATCATGATGATTTAAACAAAATTCAAAGTTACAATATTTAATTCTATTAACTTTAATTACTTTTGTTATTTCTACTTGTATTGATTTGTTTTCATCTATTATTATAATAAATTCGACGGAAACACGCAGCTCTTCGCTTGCCATTCGTCATTTCGAGACCAATGACAACCCAGAACTCACCACGTGGAGGTGGCTGCGTCAGAGTTCCATCAAGAGTTGGAAAGGATGTAACTCCACATGTGACTAACATCACTTGTTGAGTTTCATTCATTCTAACGCACACTATTAAAATATATATAAATACTTCTCAATACTTGAAATTCAATTATTCGAAATTTACTTTATCATTACTACCTAAACTAATTGGATGCGACATTATAATAACAATAAAAGCCAGGGACTTCGTCTCCCGTGTCTTCCGTTTACGCCGACTCAGGTTTCTAAAATACAACGAAAAGAGCCTCTTCGCCTCCCGTGTCTTCTGTCTTCACCCCAACTCGGGCTTTCAGGAAAAGGGGGAAGAGGGAACTTTCGCATCCCGTGTCCTCTGTCTTTGCCCTATTCGGGCTTTAAGGTAACGGGGGAAAGAGAGATCCTTTGCCTCTTGTAAATGTCTTCTGTCTTCGCCTTACTCGGATTTTAGGGAAAGGGCTCTCTACCCTGTTTCCATAAAGTGTCGTCTTTCTTCATTTTACGCCGGAGTCAAGAAGGATGTGGCATGTCTATAGTGATGTGCTATCTAATACACGTGAAATGCACAGCAGAATGAAAAACAATCAATGTAAAAGAAATTTTTATTAAAAAGGATGTTTTAACAAATATAAAAGATATCTTAAACTTAATCATAACTGTTTTATGGGAATTAACTGATACGACCAAATTGGATAATTTTTTTGGAAATAAGCGAAGTATGTAAAATTTGTAATTACGAAAATGATGAAATTACAGGAGCATAATTTTTGGAATGAAGTGTATAATATAAAAATCAAATAAATATTTAATTATATAATTTATATATGATATTTAAGTTTATGTTTAAATGTAAATTCACTGTAAATTTACATCCAAAGAAAGTAAATTCATCTCTAAATATCTGAAGTAAAGTTGATTTGGATATTATTATTTTTCTTAAATTTCAAAAAAAATACTGATCTTCAGGAAATAAATTAATGCATCTTGTAAGTTTTAAAATAAAATAATATTTTTATTAAATCAGTTTTTTTTTATAATACCTAAACTCTTTTACAGCTGAATAAGAGCGAAGTAATCAATTTTTATCATTAGTTTTGAAGAAAACCTAAGTTTTAATGAGGTGTGGAAAAGGATTCATATTATGTATCGACTAGATAACACTGTTCTGCAAAAAAAAACTTTTTTTCTATTTCTGAAAAAATACATTGTGTTCCTAGTTGTACTTCGAGCACTGAATTCAAACCTGTTTTTAGTTTTTTTCTGTCAGGGATAGTTTATGAGTAATCAGAATTTTATTTTTTCTTTATGTTTCTGATATAGTGCAGGACACATTAGCTGAAATTCAAGAAAAAAATCAGTTTTTTTATGATGTTATTAAGTTCATCATATTAAGGGAGGTTGGGATCTAACATATAACATATACATCTTAGTGTATTTGCTTTGTAGCATTTATTTCACATGAGCAATTACAGAAAATTGACAAAAATGAGCCACCATATAGTAATGCACATCACTTTTTCTCTTGTATTGAGAATCTTTCTTCTCTCAAATGATATTCCAGCAATAATCTGCTAACATAGAAGGTACCCACTTCTCTTCATAACGCCTTTCTATAGTAGAAATGTCTTTATGGAATCTTTTGCCATGTTCATCCGATACGTCACTACAACTCTCTGTGAAGTAGTTCAGATGAGTCTATCATATGTACCTTCAGAGACATATTGCACCCCAGATCTTGGTGTGCTTTGATCATGTCATTCACCATTGCTTTGTAGTTGGTAGCTCTTCTTCCGAGGAAGTTTTCTGATACCATCTTGAAACACTCCCATGCTCTCTTTTCTTTGGCAGTTAAACATGCTTCAAAATTTGCATCTTTCTGCAACTCCTTGATTTGCGGGCCCATACATACACCTTCCTCTATTTTTGCAGCTGAAAGATGGGGAATTTGTCAGCTAGATATGCAAATCCACTGCCTGTTGGATCCATGGCCTTTACGAATTGTTTCATTAGGCCAAGTTTGATGTGAAGCGGTGGAAGTAGTATATCTTCAGGAGCTACCAGACTTTCATGTTGCACATTCTTTTCGTCCACTTTCCACCTCCACTTAGGCCATTTTTTTTACATTTAGTTAGAATTTCTGTCATGACTATCCCACTCGCAAAGAAAACATGCATACTTCGTGTAGCCTTGTTGCATTCCCAATGTCATAGCAATTACTTTGAAGTCTCCACATATTTTCCATTTGTATTCATTGTATTGTAATGAATTTATCATCCTTCATAAGAATTTGTAATTCTCTTTAGTCAAGCTGGCATAAGCAACTGGAACAGAGGGCATTTTATTTCCATTGTGGAGAAAAACACCCTTGAGACTTATTTTCAATGCATCTATGAAAAGTCTCCACTCCTGTGAACTGTAGGTGAAGTTCAGCACCTTCATTAGGCCAGCAACATCATTGTCACGTTCGATTATTACTGCATGCAGCAACATACACATATTTCTCTATAACGTCTGTGTTTGCCATGAACTGTGAATATATACATATATATACACGTTACACAAAAAGTATCCCTGACAACAAAATTCTGTTTCCAGATTTGAATTTTCCATGATAAATTGGTTTAGAATCACACATTTTAATATCAGAAATAGAACCCTTGTCAAACAGTGTTATTATTGTTTGATTCTGTTCGTTTTATGTCTTGTTTTAAATGCATTTTGAGCATAAAGCTTGTTCTTATATTCTCTCTTCTAATGTAACAACGTCAGAAAACACCGTTTTGAAAGATATACATTATTTATTAGAATATTTGTACTATGTTACATTACTCTCAATTATTATGAAATATTAATTTAAATGACTAAAAGTTTTAATTTCAACTACTGTATTTTATTTTAAATTTTAAAGTATGTTTTCAGTCCACAAACATATAACATTTGTTCTGTTTAATAAGTTACATAATATTAGACAACCTGGCAGAAAACTAAAACTTTACCACAGTCTATAGACTAGTACTGATCTGAGGACCATGTTCTAATGTTGTAATTTAAACAGGATTAATTAAAATCACTTTAATGATGCATACTGCAAACATTTTAGAATAAGTGTTAAATATCAAAGCAATTTATATACTGGATTTTAGTTTTCATCTAATAACATAAAATATTTAAAAGAAATCTCTATTAGTAACGTGATACTGTATTTTTTAATTTCGCTAAAACTGTTACTTCAGCAAATGTTTACACTAAAAGACAGTATATGCAGCAAATAGCATTATTTATATCAAAATATGAAGTTGTAAAAGCAATAATAATTATAAAATATACCCTAGATTTCAGTTAAATTTTTCTTTGTGAGTATGGCTGATGTTCCTGCTAAAGGAAAATATCAACTAGAAGAGAAAAATAATTTTCTGTAGTATTCTAAGCAAATAATCATTATTTATTAAAATATTCATTAATATACAGTATTACAAATCTTACACAGCAAGAATCTTCACAATAATTAATAAATAATAATAATAATTTAATTAATATAAATAAGATGTTTTTGAAAAATAATTGATTAGTGAATATTTCTTATGATAATATTATGTGGTTCCTCTGATAAATATCTTTTAAATCTGAAAAAGCAATGCTTAATGTCCTAAAAACGTGTTAAAAAAAGCTTCTGAAATGTAATGTATGTATCAGAGTATGTTTTTTCTTAATGTACTGTACATAAAAATTGATATTTAAAGCAACAGACAATCTCTTAAACTTACATAGAACGTACGGTACCTATTTACTGACATTTATGATTTAAACTAATATATGTATATAGCCAACCAAATTTTATTTATAATCTGATATATCAATTTAATTCAACGTTAATTTTAAAAATCTCACATTATAAATGAAATTTTAAATCTAAAAATATAAATATGTTTCAGTCTAACATTCTATTTNACATCATTGTCACGTTCGATTATTACTGCATGCAGCAACATACACATATTTCTCTATAACGTCTGTGTTTGCCATGAACTGTGAATATATACATATATATACACGTTACACAAAAAGTATCCCTGACAACAAAATTCTGTTTCCAGATTTGAATTTTCCATGATAAATTGGTTTAGAATCACACATTTTAATATCAGAAATAGAACCCTTGTCAAACAGTGTTATTATTGTTTGATTCTGTTCGTTTTATGTCTTGTTTTAAATGCATTTTGAGCATAAAGCTTGTTCTTATATTCTCTCTTCTAATGTAACAACGTCAGAAAACACCGTTTTGAAAGATATACATTATTTATTAGAATATTTGTACTATGTTACATTACTCTCAATTATTATGAAATATTAATTTAAATGACTAAAAGTTTTAATTTCAACTACTGTATTTTATTTTAAATTTTAAAGTATGTTTTCAGTCCACAAACATATAACATTTGTTCTGTTTAATAAGTTACATAATATTAGACAACCTGGCAGAAAACTAAAACTTTACCACAGTCTATAGACTAGTACTGATCTGAGGACCATGTTCTAATGTTGTAATTTAAACAGGATTAATTAAAATCACTTTAATGATGCATACTGCAAACATTTTAGAATAAGTGTTAAATATCAAAGCAATTTATATACTGGATTTTAGTTTTCATCTAATAACATAAAATATTTAAAAGAAATCTCTATTAGTAACGTGATACTGTATTTTTTAATTTCGCTAAAACTGTTACTTCAGCAAATGTTTACACTAAAAGACAGTATATGCAGCAAATAGCATTATTTATATCAAAATATGAAGTTGTAAAAGCAATAATAATTATAAAATATACCCTAGATTTCAGTTAAATTTTTCTTTGTGAGTATGGCTGATGTTCCTGCTAAAGGAAAATATCAACTAGAAGAGAAAAATAATTTTCTGTAGTATTCTAAGCAAATAATCATTATTTATTAAAATATTCATTAATATACAGTATTACAAATCTTACACAGCAAGAATCTTCACAATAATTAATAAATAATAATAATAATTTAATTAATATAAATAAGATGTTTTTGAAAAATAATTGATTAGTGAATATTTCTTATGATAATATTATGTGGTTCCTCTGATAAATATCTTTTAAATCTGAAAAAGCAATGCTTAATGTCCTAAAAACGTGTTAAAAAAAGCTTCTGAAATGTAATGTATGTATCAGAGTATGTTTTTTCTTAATGTACTGTACATAAAAATTGATATTTAAAGCAACAGACAATCTCTTAAACTTACATAGAACGTACGGTACCTATTTACTGACATTTATGATTTAAACTAATATATGTATGTAGCCAACCAAATTTTATTTATAATCTGATATATCAATTTAATTCAACGTTAATTTTAAAAATCTCACATTATAAATGAAATTTTAAATCTAAAAATATAAATATGTTTCAGTCTAACATTCTATTTTGATTTCTTATAAAGCAAAAATAATGTTTAACTTACAATACTGAAGTTTATTTAATCACAATTCTTTGGGAAAATCTCAAAAGGGGAAAAAAATACGGAGAAAACGCAGAACTTTCGGAAAATTTCGCTTAAAAATGGCGATCAACAATAGAAAAATCGAACAATACATTCGAACAATTCGTTGCTTTCGAACGTTCGATGATCCGACAAATACATTACGCGTTACGTCAAAATATTAATCGATTTAAAATATTTCACTTAAAAAGTTAAAATTTTTCTCTTTTTCTAATAAATAAAATGATAAAAAATGAAATTTATAGATGTATTTTAATTAATTCTAATGTAATCTTATTTTATTTTTTGGAAGGTTCAAATAGGAATTTGTATTATATTCACACAGGCCCATATACCATATATATAATAGAATGTTTGTCTAAGCATTTTGATAGATATGTGGCAATTGCGTGTCTAAAATAAACAAGATAGGAATCTTACTCCGTGTAATGTTGAATTACTTTATTCTTTAAAGTCAATAATTTTAACCAGATTCAACTAGCATGGTTTTAAGAATGTGGTTTACTTTTAACGAAACTCTTAAAAAGGCTATATAAATTAAAATTAGCTTTTAAAAGCTTTTAATTTTATGCAAATCAACTAGCGGGGTTGCGGGGCGAGCAGTTTACTTCACTTTCACTTAGCAAGCAACTTACGTCGTGAAGAAAAAAAGTCATTCCCACGGTACCCGCGATGAATTCAAGTTCAACAACAGAAGTTTAAAAATTTTTTCAAAAAAACTCTAAAGAAAACAAGGCGCAATGCACACTTTGCGGCAAATTTTTAAAGTTTTCTGGAAATACGACAAATTACCGTCAGCACTTTCACGGGAAAGTTTTAAATGACCACACGAAAACATCAGGTCCACCCAGGAAACAACCTCGTGTGGAATTCATGTACACGGAAAATAACGTACTGTATTCTTGAATAATTCAATACAATATGTTTTGAATTAATCATTTAAAAATATTTATCAGTATAAAGCTTTTCAGATATGTAACAGATTTTTATTTTTTATTTTAAGATGTTAGTGCTATTAATATTTCCCTGGATTGAAGACCAACCAGCGGGTCGTGCCTATCAAATGAATCTCTTCATCATCGTCATCTACTACGATTTCTGCATCTTCCACATTGCTGAGTTCCATGGGATCAAATTCGCAGGGGGCTGAAAATCAGCAACGAACCGTGCTGGACTACATTAATTTGGTTCAAGATTTTAGACCACGTAAGTAATTAAACGCTTGCCTAAATGCTTTTATAGATCAAACACTAAACATTTTTGTAATAATAAGGAGTGTAACTGCACTAATAGTGGGCAGTTTTTGATTCTTGACTTAATTTTTACAGCAGTGCGATATAGAGCACTTTTTAATGCTTATTTTCATTGAAGTCATGTACATGCCTAAAATATTGGCTTAGATTTGAATCTAAGGCAGTTTCGATTTGAATTCATTAAGGCTTAGATTTGAATCTAAGCAACATGCTTAAGCAGTGTTCACTACTGAATGTCCATTACTAGTGAAGTTATTTGACAAGTAGATTAAGAAATTATTAATAAATTTAAAACTGTAGATAGAAGAAGCGAAGAAATAACTACAGCAATTGTGTGTTGGATTGTGCTGAGGTTACAGATAAATCTATTAAGTTGCCGCAGATCTCCACCAAATTTTTTTATACTTATTCCTGGATCTCCGAGGAAAATATTGACTTTCGTGAAATCTGGACACCCCACGCTCTTCGCCTATTTCGATCTACTCGACATATCAGAGTATGTTTTTTCTTAATGTACTGTACATAAAAATTGATATTTAAAGCAACAGACAATCTCTTAAACTTACATAGAACGTACGGTACCTATTTACTGACATTTATGATTTAAACTAATATATGTATATAGCCAACCAAATTTTATTTATAATCTGATATATCAATTTAATTCAACGTTAATTTTAAAAATCTCACATTATAAATGAAATTTTAAATCTAAAAATATAAATATGTTTCAGTCTAACATTCTATTTTGATTTCTTATAAAGCAAAAATAATGTTTAACTTACAATACTGAAGTTTATTTAATCACAATTCTTTGGGAAAATCTCAAAAGGGGAAAAAAATACGGAGAAAACGCAGAACTTTCGGAAAATTTCGCTTAAAAATGGCGATCAACAATAGAAAAATCGAACAATACATTCGAACAATTCGTTGCTTTCGAACGTTCGATGATCCGACAAATACATTACGCGTTACGTCAAAATATTAATCGATTTAAAATATTTCACTTAAAAAGTTAAAATTTTTCTCTTTTTCTAATAAATAAAATGATAAAAAATGAAATTTATAGATGTATTTTAATTAATTCTAATGTAATCTTATTTTATTTTTTGGAAGGTTCAAATAGGAATTTGTATTATATTCACACAGGCCCATATACCATATATATAATAGAATGTTTGTCTAAGCATTTTGATAGATATGTGGCAATTGCGTGTCTAAAATAAACAAGATAGGAATCTTACTCCGTGTAATGTTGAATTACTTTATTCTTTAAAGTCAATAATTTTAAACAGATTCAACTAGCATGGTTTTAAGTAAACTAAAATATTGGCTTAGATTTGAATCTAAGGCAGTTTCGATTTGAATTCATTAAGGCTTAGATTTGAATCTAAGCAACATGCTTAAGCAGTGTTCACTACTGAATGTCCATTACTAGTGAAGTTATTTGACAAGTAGATTAAGAAATTATTAATAAATTTAAAATTGTAGATAGAAGAAGCGAAGAAATAACTACAGCAATTGTGTGTTGGATTTTAAAAGATGGCAGGCCTCTTGATATCGTATCAGAAGATGGATTTCAGAATTTTTTGAAAGTAGCTTGCCCAAGGTATCAGCTCCCTCACCAGACAACAATCAAAAGAAAGATTGACCATTTGTTCGATGCAGCAGTTTTGACTATAAAGAAGGAATTGTCAGCAGTAAATGTGATGGCTTTAACCACAGATGCATGGACAAATTCAATGAACAGCCGTTGTTACCTGAGAGTAACAGTTCATTTCATCAAGTATTTTAAACATCAGTCGTATGTACTGTACTTGGTGTTTCAAATTTGACAGAGAACCACACTGCAGAGTGCATATCAGAACAATTAAATGAGGTAATTGATTTTGGGGATTAGAAAAAAAGATATACAATATTGTGTTACAGATAATTGAGCTAACTTTGTAAAAACAGTTGAGCCGTTTCTTGGAAAAGACAAACACTTATCTTGTTTTGTCCATACTCTTTAATGGTAAAATATTCAGAGATGTCCCAGACTTACTGCATGCAAGTTATTGGAAAAGTAAAGGCCATTGTTTCTTATTTTCATGAAAGTAATAATGTAGCATCAGCTTTAGGGAAAGAGCAATCGAAATTGGGAGGCAGTGAACTGAATCTGATTCAGGTTGTGGAAACAAGATGGAATTCAACCTATTTAATGCTAAACAGGTTCCTTGACACAAAAGATTTAGTAACATTAGCATTACAAACTGTTGTCGGTGGTTTTGACATGCTATCTAGATATGAGTTCCATTTGGTCCAGGATGCTGTTAGAAAGCACTACTGTGATCAGCAAGATAATTCTAATTTTGAGATTGTTGTCTAATGTACTGTACTCAGTAAATTTTTCTAAGTTCAATGTAAAGTTTTTCTGAGACTCAAATTGGAAAATTGTTGAAAGTGTTTATAAAAATTTGGATTACAGATTTAAATACACTAAAACAAAACTGGCCTACAGTGTGACAACAGTGCTAGATCTATGATTTAAGAAAGTCGACTTTAAAAGTAATGCATGTTGTGTTAGAGCTGTAAATTTCATCAACGTCCAACTTAACTTACAACCAATCATTATCTATGAACGTGAAGTGATTGTGAACGATGATGCAGCTGACACCAGTGACTTGTGGGCTCACAGAAATGTAAAAATCACAAATAGTGACAGGGGATTAGCAAATTATTTAACCATAAACTCTTCATTAAAATCATTCGCATGTGAAGTTGCGCGTGCGTATTGCATTTAGTATCAAATTTTAAATTCACACGACCAGTAAAGTGCCAATTAGTCAATATAGTATTTATCAGGCTGCTCGGCCTTTTTAGTCATTATTCATAGTGGCTGAGCATTACAAATAACGCCCTATTAATCACTTGGTCCATAACATATGCATCGACTGGCCAGATCGAAAACTGGCGCCATTGTAGGCCCTTCTTCTTCTAGTGTTTATATGGGGTGCGTTTACTTTTTGCTAGCTTCCAAGCTCGCCGAGCTGACATCTAGCTTAGCCTGACGTCATACTAGCACGCTCGTAAAAGTATACACAGTAATGGACGCCGCCATCTTTGAACAAACTCCAAGCTCGTTGTAAATTCTCCGAGCGCGCTAGGAATGCTAGCAATGACGTCATGGGTGCGAAAAGTAAACGCCGTGCTCATTGGTAGCTAACAAAAAGTATACAGGCTGAGCGCGCTAGGGGCGAGATCGGAGCTAAAAGTAAACGCACCCATGGTGTAGGACCTGGGGCGCCAGTTTCTTTCTTCTAGGACACGTTGCCAGTCCTGCTCCTCTTAGGAGTGTTGCCAGCTGAGGTTACAGATAAATCTATTAAGTTGCCGCAGATCTCCACCAAATTTTTTTATACTTATTCCTGGATCTCCGAGGAAAATATTGACTTTCGTGAAATCTGGACACGCTCTTCGCCTATTTCGATCTACTCGACACTTCGCGACAAACATAACAGTGGCAGGCTAAAGTTAAAATAACCAAACTTTTAATAGTTTTCATGTTAACGTTCTTATTTTTTAGCGGGGTAATGCCAGAGATATCTGCTAGTTAATAATAAATACAAATAATTATAAACTGTAATAAAAATGTAAATTTTGTTTCGAGACCGGACGTGGAACGATTCCTAGTAGTTCCGAATTCGGAACGGTTCCGCTCCGGAACTACCCATCTCTAATTTGATAATTAAAAATAATAATTCTATGTAATTAATTCTGAACGTTTAATTTTTGTTATTAAAATCGATTATTGCTGAGTCTTATTTAAATTTAACTATATGTAATATACAGAAGACGCATTCGTTCGAAAATAGTAGTCACGTGGTGTACAGAAGATGGCAAATGAACACCTTTCCAGAATCGGTTTATTTTTCGATGAATTAAACAAAATTCGAGTATTAGATCCTGTTGTTTCGCAACAGACAATTGAATTAAAAGATGAATGCAAAGAATTCGTGGATAGTGAGTAATAATTTCGTTTTAATACGAAATTATTAATAAATTTAAAATTGTAGATAGAAGAAGCGAAGAAATAACTACAGCAATTGTGTGTTGGATTTTAAAAGATGGCAGGCCTCTTGATATCGTATCAGAAGATGGATTTCAGAATTTTTTGAAAGTAGCTTGCCCAAGGTATCAGCTCCCTCACCAGACAACAATCAAAAGAAAGATTGACCATTTGTTCGATGCAGCAGTTTTGACTATAAAGAAGGAATTGTCAGCAGTAAATGTGATGGCTTTAACCACAGATGCATGGACAAATTCAATGAACAGCCGTTGTTACCTGAGAGTAACAGTTCATTTCATCAAGTATTTTAAACATCAGTCGTATGTACTGTACTTGGTGTTTCAAATTTGACAGAGAACCACACTGCAGAGTGCATATCAGAACAATTAAATGAGGTAATTGATTTTGGGGATTAGAAAAAAAGATATACAATATTGTGTTACAGATAATTGAGCTAACTTTGTAAAAACAGTTGAGCCGTTTCTTGGAAAAGACAAACACTTATCTTGTTTTGTCCATACTCTTTAATGGTAAAATATTCAGAGATGTCCCAGACTTACTGCATGCAAGTTATTGGAAAAGTAAAGGCCATTGTTTCTTATTTTCATGAAAGTAATAATGTAGCATCAGCTTTAGGGAAAGAGCAATCGAAATTGGGAGGCAGTGAACTGAATCTGATTCAGGTTGTGGAAACAAGATGGAATTCAACCTATTTAATGCTAAACAGGTTCCTTGACACAAAAGATTTAGTAACATTAGCATTACAAACTGTTGTCGGTGGTTTTGACATGCTATCTAGATATGAGTTCCATTTGGTCCAGGATGCTGTTAGAAAGCACTACTGTGATCAGCAAGATAATTCTAATTTTGAGATTGTTGTCTAATGTACTGTACTCAGTAAATTTTTCTAAGTTCAATGTAAAGTTTTTCTGAGACTCAAATTGGAAAATTGTTGAAAGTGTTTATAAAAATTTGGATTACAGATTTAAATACACTAAAACAAAACTGGCCTACAGTGTGACAACAGTGCTAGATCTATGATTTAAGAAAGTCGACTTTAAAAGTAATGCATGTTGTGTTAGAGCTGTAAATTTCATCAACGTCCAACTTAACTTACAACCAATCATTATCTATGAACGTGAAGTGATTGTGAACGATGATGCAGCTGACACCAGTGACTTGTGGGCTCACAGAAATGTAAAAATCACAAATAGTGACAGGGGATTAGCAAATTATTTAACCATAAACTCTTCATTAAAATCATTCGCATGTGAAGTTGCGCGTGCGTATTGCATTTAGTATCAAATTTTAAATTCACACGACCAGTAAAGTGCCAATTAGTCAATATAGTATTTATCAGGCTGCTCGGCCTTTTTAGTCATTATTCATAGTGGCTGAGCATTACAAATAACGCCCTATTAATCACTTGGTCCATAACATATGCATCGACTGGCCAGATCGAAAACTGGCGCCATTGTAGGCCCTTCTTCTTCTAGTGTTTATATGGGGTGCGTTTACTTTTTGCTAGCTTCCAAGCTCGCCGAGCTGACATCTAGCTTAGCCTGACGTCATACTAGCACGCTCGTAAAAGTATACACAGTAATGGACGCCGCCATCTTTGAACAAACTCCAAGCTCGTTGTAAATTCTCCGAGCGCGCTAGGAATGCTAGCAATGACGTCATGGGTGCGAAAAGTAAACGCCGTGCTCATTGGTAGCTAACAAAAAGTATACAGGCTGAGCGCGCTAGGGGCGAGATCGGAGCTAAAAGTAAACGCACCCATGGTGTAGGACCTGGGGCGCCAGTTTCTTTCTTCTAGGACACGTTGCCAGTCCTGCTCCTCTTAGGAGTGTTGCCAGCTGAGGTTACAGATAAATCTATTAAGTTGCCGCAGATCTCCACCAAATTTTTTTATACTTATTCCTGGATTTCCGAGGAAAATATTGACTTTCGTGAAATCTGGACACCCCACGCTCTTCGTCTATTTCGATCTACTCGACACTTCGTGACAAACACAACAATGGCAGGCTAAAGTTAAAATAACCAAACTTTTAATAGTTTTCATTTTAACGTTCTTATTTTTTAGCGGGATAATGCCAGAAATATCTGCTAGTTAATAATAAATACAAATAATTATAAACTCTAATAAAAATGTAAATTTTGTTTCGAGACAGGTCTCGTGGAACGATTCCTAGTAGTTCCGAATTCGGAACGGTTCCGCTCCGGAACTACCCATCTCTAATTTGATAATTAAAAATAATAATTCTATGTAATTAATTCTGAACGTTTAATTTTTGTTATTAAAATCGATTATTGCTGAGTCTTATTTAAATTTAACTATATGTAATATACAGAAGACGCATTCGTTCGAAAATAGTAGTCACGTGGTCTACAGAAGATGGCAAATGAACACCTTTCCAGAATCGGTTTATTTTTCGATGAATTAAACAAAATTCGAGTATTAGATCCTGTTGTTTCGCAACAGACAATTGAATTAAAAGATGAATGCAAAGAATTCGTGGATAGTGAGTAATAATTTCGTTTTAATACATTAAGATAATCTGAATGTGGTTAAAGTCTAGATACGTAGACTGTCATGGCGGCTCATCTCTGATTCCAGCAAACAGTGGGGACGCACGTTCTAATCTATTCTAATAATTTGATTGGTAATAATTATGGTAATTTATTAGAATAGGTTAGGTTAGGTTAGGTTAGAACGTGCGTCCCCACTGTTTGCTGGAATCAGAGATGAGCCGCCATGACAGTCTACGTATCTGGACTTTAACCGTGAATGTATATACTGTATGTTAGTTTGTCTGGATGTAAAGTAATAATAATAATGTATATTTTCAATTTACAGAGATTGCTGAATTTCAAACAATAGTTGATAGTTTTATTCAGATAATTGACAATCTTTCAAATGAAGTTGAAAAAGAAAAACTTAAGGTAAATTTAATTAATTTAAAAATTATTTTTATTGCTTTGATTTTGATAATTAATTGCATATAACAATTAAATGAATTGTAAATATTATAACTATAAGCAATAATTATGCAGTAGTCCTCATTATATTGTGCATGCAAGGAGACAAACCAAATAAGTGATATCAAATGGCAGAATATAATAAATGTATGAGTATGTATGCATTATTGGCTAAAGTCTTTTATATTTGGAAGACCGAAAAAGGGGGATATATTTAAATGAGGGACTACTGTATATAATTTTGTATGATATATTTATTATACATAGTTATTTATATCTGCTGATATATTTGATTGAATATTTTATTGTATAATTTTAGAAATTTTTGAAGATATTTATTATAAATGTTTTAACAAGGTATATTTTTTGTTTAGCATGAAGATCATTTTCTACTGACATGTTCTCACTTAGAATAATAAATATTTTCAATTTAATATTAGTTTAATTCTGTAGCATTTCCAAGAAGCTGACCATCTAGACTAGGCTGGCAAAACAAGTGATTAAAACACTTGAAATAAATGAACAATAATAGATTAGAATTACAGGTTCAAAGGAAATAAAAGAAAAAGGTTTTTCAGCCTGTTCCTATTCAAATATAACTGGTACCTAACTCTATATTGTTGAGTAAGGAAAAAAGAAAGATCTTCAATTCACCAAATAATTTTTTTTTGAATTTGGAATGTAGAGATTGTTATATATAGCAATAGCATTATTGTGACTGTGCAATTACAACAGAAATAAAATTACAAAAATACTCAAATAGTTAGCTTAGTTCAGTATAGACATATAATATACTAGTTAGGATTTAAAGAGTTTGTACAAATTATACATCATTTGTTAAATTTGATGAAAATGACTCAGAATTTTTAACAGGTGATAATTACAGTTGACTATAACTTGAAGTGGAAGAGAGAGAGAAAAATTTTTGAATTATAGAAATTACTGTGCTATAATAAGTTCATGAATATTTAATATATATACACAGTTAGACATAAATGTTATATTTTTTTACTTCTTAGATTTATGTACAGTAGAGCGTCGTTTATCCGAAAGCTGGTTATCCGAAACGTCTGTTATCCGAAAGCATTCCAGTCGGCAAATTTAAATTTTCACTACTGCTGTGGCACTGCAATCTTCGGCTATTTCTTGGGTTACTCAAATATTTTACGTTTTTGATACTAAATTAACTTCTGAAGTATAATTTTTTATTGTTTTTGTATTTTTCAATATATTTATTTTGTTTGTAAAAAATAAAGAAAATAATTTTTAACGATACAATAGTCTTCATTAGGCTTAACATCGACGAAAATTCAACGCGAAGCAACACGCAACGGAGAAAAATTTCAACATGGGATAAATTAATATATTTTTTCGTACATGATTCGTTATCCGAACCACCCCAGTCCCCAATTGATTCGGATTAACGACGCTCTACTGTATATATAAAATAATAAAACATTTATATTATTAATGAAAGAAATCTGTTAGTTGAGTTTGACATTAACAGTCCATTGCTTCTTACTAAAAATATCTTAGATAGATGTGCTTGATCACGTCAAACATCATATTTCATATTTGACAAAACACTCTTTGTAAATTTTCTATAAAATCTGATTGCTAATTCACATTTGTACACCTATGTTAAAGTTGTTACTTTAGACATTAATTATCTACAAAAGTTTTGTATTTTATTACATTTTCAGAGGCTCGGGTATGTTAACTTTATTTCTTCAAGTGTACATAAATGTTTGATTGTGTGCAAGTTTGTCTTAGATTCCTTGAAAATACAACAAAACATATCAAGCATGAAATAAATTCATCATCAGAAACCTAGATTTCAAATTATCAAAACATGTTTTCAAAACCATTCCAAGTTATTGACACAATTTGCATTAAGTTTTAGAGTTAAATTGAGATTTAAAAAAGTTCAAATTAACAAAGTTCAACTTATTAGGAGTCAACTGTAANACAAGTTCCATTATACTCTATAATTCATTTTAAATAATTTTAAGAGTTGAAACATATTAAAAAAAAAAAACATATTATTTTAAATACTTACTCGAGTATTCCTACTTATTGCTCCTGTGTTGGAGTCCATTATATTTTAAGATTTGACAAAATCGTTTTAAAGAATTAAAACTCTATGATTAGTAGTGAGTATTTATACATTTTACTTCGAGGTTAATTTTTTGTTTTCCCTTTGGAGAGATAAATTAGGTTATCCCTCCCTCTGTTAGATTAATTTAAAATCGCCTTGGTATGTTAAATTCTTTGTTAAATTTCCTATAGTTTTGGTTTCGGCCACCTACATTATAAATTGTGTCAGACATTAACATTTGAGGTTTTATAAACCTTCTCCATGGCAAATTTTTCTAATTATTTTATAAATTGTGTTCAAACAGCTATAGAATCTAATTTATGATTCAAATAGATTCTTACATATAAGTAGTAGTGGTTTGGGCCACTTTGATTGCAAAATTAATTTTTCGAGTAAGATTACAAATTATTATTTAAATTTTGTTGAGTAAATTAAGATTACAAATGAATTGTTTTAATATCTGATGAAATAATATTTTATTAAGTTGCAGTGAGAGTAATTTGTCGAGTTTTATCATCAATACTGATAAAAATTTGTCTTAATTTGAAATAATATGACATTGAAATTATTTTGAAAAAGTTTTTACGTTACAGTTTATTTAAGTGTTTCCACTTTTTCTTTCAGTTTATCTAAAGCATGACACATTTCTGCGAGTAAGTGCAGGAATAAATTTTTGTGATTGCTGATGATATATTCTTGATTTAAGTTTTGATATTTTAAAATGTGACACCAAGAAAGTTGATTTTGGAATTTGTCAATAAATTGTTGATCAAGTTTTTGGTAACGAGAAACAATATTCCAGTTTAGATAATCTTTTAATTCGCATAGTCTCCGTTTTTAATTGTTGGAATTTTAAAAAAAATTTTATATCAAACTTATGTATGAAGGCGGTAATAAAATCATCTCAGAGAGTTTGAAATTCTGCACTTTTATTCCAATCAAGATGATGTAAAAACCTCTTTAAGAAATGTTTGAGTAATTTCTGATATTGGCATATTAAATCCTATTTTACATAATCAATATGTTGTATAATAAATGAATAAGGGAATATGTAATTTTTCCATGTGAATTCCCAATTTAAATTATCCGTGAATTCAGAAATAAACGTGTTAGATAAATCACTTTAAGCTCAACAAATTTTAAATAATAATTTGTAATCTTACTCAAAAAATTTATTTTGTGATCAAAGAGGCCCAAACCACTACTACTGATATAATAATAATAATAAAAATCAAGTAATATCTGATTGATTGTTTTTCTTTTATATTTATATATATTTTTATGTCATTTTCTTATTTTCCATCATTATTTTTGTATTTAAATATATGTATTTTATTTTTGGAATGCCGATATTCCAAACTTCTGGTTTAACCTGAGTATGGAATAGGTTGAAAATGTTAGTTTGTTTTCAATAAATTATCTCAGCAACATAAGGTGTGTTTTGATAATCTAGCAATCGCTACATTCATTCAAGAGAACCACATTATACCCATACTTGGGAAATTGCAGAAGTATTTTCTATCATTCAAAGATCAGTTGTTAGCCATTTACACAACTTAGGATACATATCATGTTATAATGCTTGGATATTGCATCGATTGACAGAAATTTAATACAATATCCATTTGTGATTTACTGCTAAAACATAATCAGATGGAGCTCTTTGAAATGACTAATTACTGGCAATGTAAAATGAATTGTTTATGATAATGCGCAGCAAAAATTATTGTGGAGACAGTCAACTGACCCCTCTTGCAACAGTATCAAAAGCCAGTTTAATATTTGAGAAAGAATATATGCTGAAAATGCTGAATATTTTATGTTGAAAACAGTTAAACTTTTTATCAAATATAATAAATGTATGAGTATGTATGCATTATTNTCTTTTAATTAAATTATGCGATTGCAATTATCTATTATTGTATGTAGAAATATTTACTTCACAGAAATTTCTGTATTTGACACGAATCTTCTATATACATACATACATGGTATTACAATATTAGAATTTAAAAATATATTGAAAATGTTTATTATTGTAAAAATATAATAATTAGTGAACATTTATCATTTTAAATTTTAAAAAATTGTGTTTTAGATGCTTAAATGTAAATTTAATAAATATTCAGTAGCTTAAGAAACTGTTAAAGTTTTTCTTTTATCATTGATTTTAAAATGTTATATATTTTTTAAATCAAGGCTATTGGATCAAGAAATTTATTAAAATCTATCACAAAAAGAAGAGAGGCCCAACAACAACAGTTGCAAGCATTAATTATAGAAAAAAAATTGCAGTTGGAAAGGTTTGCATTTTCTCAATTTGTTTACAGATAATACTAAATTGCTTCTTTTCAAATATAGTAAAGTCTAGTCTACCTATGGGATGGCTTAAAACTTACTATCAAGTTTAATGTTTTATTAGAATTGAATAATGAGTATATACGTACTAATTATTAAGCTTCTAGTCCCTGTTTTCTCAAATTCAATCTTTTACCATTAAATAATACAGTATATCCTTGATGTTCATGGATGTCAGTATTTGGGAATTTGATCATTCATGATTGGAAATTTATGCATCAAAATTTCAAGTTTCATGAAAGGTTTCAACCTTTTGGGAAATGGGAGATTATGTACTACTGTAAACTAGATTTTGTGCCTGTGAGAACTGGATATTCAGGTAGGTGCAATACTAAAGTGTGATTTACACTGGACACGAAGGCTGCAAAAGTGAAGAGAGTGAACACAGCAAATAAAGTGAGCAAAGCAAATTTTGTTCACACTGCAAGTAGTAATAAGAGTGGTTGCGAGTTTAGTTTTGCATCCTTACCAATAGATGGCATTTTAAAAAATTCTCTATATATTGCAGTTGCCATATTAGTGTTCTTTTTCTTTACTGTGTTGTGTAGGCTTATCAAAATTAAATTATATATTAGTATTATTTTCAATATGCAAATATTGAAAATAATACTAATATATTTTTCCAATTTTTGTTTTTATGGCTTGATAACACATTTTCACTTCAGATATATTAATCCCATAGAAAATAATAGTAATTCATGTTTGTGCTTGAAAATTATCTTTAAACTATATTCCTAATTCTTACTCAATGATCAAATGAAAAATTTACTTACAAGAAGTAGACTAAAGTAAACAAAAAATTGTGTTGATGCAGAAGTTGTTGTAACAGTTTATCAGAATTAGTTCCACTAAAATTGTGTAATTTCGTATTACAAATTATTACATTAGGATGCAAACAGTGCCACTCAGAGGGGTGGACGGGAGAGGCAGCTGCCCCATGCCTCGTAATATTAGGGACCTCAACTTGACAACTCAATATAATAGACAAAAATATAGAAGGCAAAGTGATTTGTTAAATTTTAACATTTATAAAATTAAATTCTAAATTTCTGTAGGAGGAGAAAAGCTTCTGTAAAATAATTAAATGTAATAATCCAAAAAATATTAAATACCATTGACTTTATTTTCTTGTCCACAATTTTATTTTAAATTTTGAAGAGCCTGTAAAATATTAGTTGCCCCAGGCCTTGCAATTCTCTGAAAGGCCCTGGGTGTAAATATGATTTTTGTAAAGGGTGCACAGAATGTTAGCAGCTTGCAGTACTCATAACCCTAAATCAGGCACTGTATTAAATTTAATTATGGCTATACTGTAAAAGCTTCTTTTTCAACTATATGTTTGCTCAATTAAATCAAACATAATTATTTCATTTTGTGAAGAAAATTGAAAAATAAATGTGAGAGTTTGAGCCTTTTCAATGTATTTGCTAAATTACTATTAACATTCATTTAGAAAAAATGGTAAAAAGTCATGTGTTCTAAAAATTTGAAGTTTATAAAAATTGTAAAGCTGGAAATTTTTTTCTCTATACAGTACTATGTTTTGTTGAATTTCATCTCTAATCCAATAGAAAAATTTACTAGTTATTGTTGATTGTATCATTAATGAAATTTTAATTATGGATAAATTTTCATAGTAATAGGTTGTTCAACATTTTTATTGATGAGCTAGTTTAGCATTTTGAAATGTTATGGTTTGCAATAATGTATCAAACAATATATAGAATTATTTATGATTAATATTATTCTCATTTCAGTAATTTTTCATTTATAAGTGAAAATAAATTTATTTTAATTATGTTCAGAATATTCAAACATTCCAATCCTCTTATTACAAACAGTAAAATAAACAGTATATCAAAATATATTGCTTTTATAATGAATTAAAAAAACAGGTGTATACTGTGATGATATATATATACTTTCTTTGTCTAGGCTGTTTTCTAACATAAAATTCACATTTAGGAACATGGAAACTAGAATCCATGAACATGTAAAGAAAAGTCAACAAAAAGTTTGACTAAAGAGGTGTACAATAGAAATTCAACAGTACATCAGAATGAGAACATCACAATTTAATGATCTTATAAAAAGGGATCAGATGTATATTTATGCAGCATGTTTAGATTATAATGTGATATAGATGAAATGTCAGAGGTAAACTGTAATTAAAAAGGAGAGGCTCAAGACAGGAAGGCAAATAATGAATATAAGTAGTTTTGAAGAGATTAAAAATGGTGCTATTTAAGTAGATACAGTTGATAAAAATATCCAATATTATGTAGTTTTACTTTTACACACATTACTTGAAATGTGTGTAAAAGTAAAACTACATAATAATGGAGATTTATGTTTGCATGTTTAGAAAGGAAGTTGTATAATGGTTAAGGCAGTCAAAGTTTAAAATGTAATGTTTAAAAACTATTTAATAGTAATATTCTAAATTGAACAATGTGTGTAGATGTAAGTCAGTGAAAATGAGACAATGCTTCTCAGTAATGTTTTAATGAGATAAAAGTTGGAACTTTGAAGGTTTGTTTTTGATGTAAAAATTGAATATACAATATTTTTACAGGAGAGCAATGATTAAGAAAAAAAGTTCTGTATTCATTTTTTATTTAATTTTTAAATTATTTAGTTTATATGTGTATATAATAATAGCAGACTAGTTTTGTTTTTAGGGTTTATTCATAAATCACTTGTCACAATTTAGGGGGAGGGATGATGAAGGTAAAATTATGATTACTTTTTCTAAATTAATTTATTTTGTTAAAATATATAAATATGTATACTGCATTTAATAATATATAGATATTTTTTTATTATATATATGAGTGTTGCAAGAAAATTGTTTAATTTAATTGTGTGATTGTGAAGTGGAAGTGCTATTTGAATATTTTTTAGCCTCTGTGTACCCAGCATGTGCACTGTACAGAAATAATTTTATGGGGGCATTAAAAATATATTTTACGATTCTACAAATTATTTTTTTTCCATTTTTTTGAATCAAATTACAGGTGTTCTATTTTTAATTTCAAGTGTAGCTTGTATTAAATAATTTTGAATTTACCATTTCCTTGCTTTAAGAAAATTCAATTTTACGATGCGATGAATGTCTTTTTCTTATTTAAATAAAATTTACAAATTAATTTAAATTTTTTATATCACATAGAAATGATGTAGCTAATTACGTAATTGTTTTTACGCCAAGTTTTTTTGTAAGTGAATACAGTAGTGTTTTTTAATTTAAAAAATTTATATAATTGTATGCAAAATGAATTTAAATAGACTTGGCCAAATATTACATAATTCAGAAGGGAGGATGCAGAGATGTTAATAAGTCAGGAAATAATGTTATAATTGGTCAGGAAGTCACAGATGGAATTACTTGTATGGACTCTGTAAATTATATCGTTTGTTATAATTAATTGATAAATTTAATATATTTTTTCATTTATAGACAGTAGTGTTTTTTAATTTAAAAAATTTATATAATTGTATGCAAAATGAATTTAAATAGACTTGGCCAAATATTACATAATTCAGAAGGGAGGATGCAGAGATGTTAATAAGTCAGGAAATAATGTTATAATTGGTCAGGAAGTCACAGATGGAATTACTTGTATGGACTCTGTAAATTATATCGTTTGTTATAATTAATTGATAAATTTAATATATTTTTTCATTTATAGAAAGTTTTCAATTTTAGGTTGAAAATACAATATGAAGCATTAAAGAAGGAAGAAATTGAACAAAAAGAACTCATTGAACAATTTCTTCTCCAAAAGTAACGACTGCTTCTTTTGTAAGAGAAATGATGTTATGTACAGATAAGAAAATAAAATGCAAGAAAACAAAAGTTTTATTTTCTCTTATTTCTTGAGCTAACACAAGAAAATGAAACTCATTGCAACAGATGGAGTTTTAATAGTGTACTAAGTGTAATTCATTATTTACTCCCCTGCTGAAAGTAATGTCATCACAAAAATGACTACTTATGTTGTGGAATCAAGATGACATTAGGACTTGGTAGCAAAATTTTATTTACAGTCATTACTATTTGTCACTGTTTTTTGTATTTTGATTAGAGTTAGAAGATAAGGTAATAGAAAAAGTACAACTCACATTACAAGAATCATTGAAAAAGAAAATATAAAATTGGCTTGAATATGTTGGAATATACCAAGAAAATAGTTCATTGGGTATATCTATCACAATAAAAACTTTGTTGGACACTACAAGGGACAGTAGAAGTACTAAAGATGAGACTCTAGTTATTACCTCCATAGACTTTTTCATTTGTAGTCAGACAACACACTCATTTTGAGTGTTGTTGGCTTGGCTTTTCCTGTCTTCTAGTTTCACTTCAAATCTATTGTGAATTTTGGAAGGTGACCAACCTTCATTGTAATAATTTCCAATAAAACTGACAATTTTTTTTTTGTTAAGCTAAAATTTGGGTTTTTCAAATTGGTAAGATCTTTAAGCATGGACAATAAATTATAAGACTTAAAAGAACGTATTTTACGAACTAATTAACCAATATGTGGAATTTAGATGCATGACTTATTTCAACTTTTAAGTTAAGACTGACCATTAAAAAAAAAATGACAACTTTAATCATGATATCCAATTTATCTTTGGCATTATAAAATGTTCATTATATAGTTTTTATATAAATTGTTTTGGCTGGAATTAAATAAAATCACATTTTCAGTATCAGAATAATTTTTTCTCATACATAATATGAAATTCATATACAGTAAGAATAAATTCATAGTCAATTTTTTCTCATCAATATTTTTATTGATTTTATTTATTTATAAAAATAATAATCTATATACAATGATATATGTTAATGCTGCTATAATTTAATTATTGAAAAATATTAATTTCTAAAGATCAGCATAGAAAAAATAATTAGTGATAAATAGTATCATAATTAATCATTTTTGCAGTTTTGTGTAATGCCAAATGTATTTTTTTCTTCTAATTATTTATGTTAAGTTTATAATGAATTAATGACTGTAAAATAATTTTTATAAAAACATTGTATGAAAATTATATCAAGTTTTTATGAACCTTCAATAACAAAATGCATGCAAGAGGAAAGTTTTTCAAGTTTTGAAATTTGTCGTGTAAAATATATATTACTATTTAAATTCTTTACTTATCCAGCAGAATATTTCTTTAAATACATAATAACGAATGTTTTCGGCTGCCTTCTTTGACCATCTTCACATTTATCAAGCACCAATCAAATGGAACATTATTATTGCAAACTTCTGAGAAGTTCATGTTGATATTGTTTGTATTGGCTGAAGAACTAACAAACTAAGACAGCCAAAAACATTCATTATTGCATGTTTACTTATCCAGCAGATTACTTCTTTAAAGATTTTGAATAGTAATATAAAATTCAGTTGTGTAAATGTTAATTTACATGTAAAATATATCTTTAAAAATGTAATAACATTTTAATAAATAAATCCATCTATCTATTTTAAGAATATTAACATATAAAATCTTAACAGAAATTGTATATAACAAAAATATTTAAAATATGAATCAATACTTAATAAAATATAACAAGATGGCTTCCTAAAATACTATCACAAAATCTCAAAGTTTAGCTAATAAGCCAAAATGATAATCAAGAAATAGAAATCATCTTATATCATGGATTTTTAATTATTATATTTCTTCTAATTAATGAATTTTGAATGAAATAAAAGTTTTAACAGGATTAACAGGAAAATTAATTATTGAATATTGCATATTCCCTCCAGAAGTCTTTTTTAAATAAAGTATTTACAGTATTGTAATGCAAAGACATATCAAAATATCTTTAATTTGAATGTCTTTCTTTATTTTATAATTAATTTTTTTTCAAATAGATTTCTCTTTATAATAATGACTTTTTAAAGAATTAAATAATGTATTATTTCAATATTTTATTCCTATTTCTTGAGCATCATAATTTTTTAAAATATCAATAAAAATTTGAAAAATATTTTTAACATGAGTTTGTTTTGGGAATGTTAAAGAAAAGTAATTTCTAAAAGCACCAGTAAGCTATCACAGTTAAATTTAGAATTCATCGTGAAAACTTTTTGCTGTATCAATCATTTTGCTTCCCATAAACACATCTTTCTTTGATAGTATTTCCTCGATAGATAACTTTCCATCCTTATCCAGATCGGCTAAAGCTATTAATTCCCGAGCTTCTCTTTTTGCAAGAACAGGATTTTCAGGATCGTTGTACATCTGATAAGAGTTAATTTAAAGACTAAATAATAAATTTTATATCAAAAACAATACATTGTTACAAATGAATTACCAATAATTCCTGTCTATTGACTTTGCCATCATGGTTAATATCAATAACTTCTCGAAATTCTTTAAGTCTCTGTCTTTTCCATTCTTTCTCTGACATTTTACTCGTTTCTTCCATTGGCATTGACATAAACTCTTCTTCAGTCAGCAATTCATCTCCGTCAGAATCTAAAAATTAAAGTTCAATCTGATCATTTTAATCATAAATTTTCAAATTACTTAGAAATATTTTATACCAAGGTTGTTAATGATATCGTTCACCATGTTCAACAGAGAAACGTGGCTATGTTCAGGATGGCGGAATGTTAAAAATTCATCTATATTTAATGCATCTGGATCGGAGTTTGCCGCTTCGGACCAAGCAGCTTTGTCCAATAATATTTTTTCTAAAACTAAATTAAACATTTAACTCCATTAGTTAATTCATAATTATAAAATTTATATATATTAAATTTTAATATATATCTAATACCTTTTCTATTTAATTTTTTATGATCTTTAGGATGATTTTTTGCAAATTTTTCATCAAAACCTTGCTCCATCATAAAATTCACATGATATTCATCCCAACTAACTCTTCCTAAAATAATTAAATTTTAGCATTAGTTTATTTATTATTTGCAAGCATTTTCTTTGCAATATTCAAAATTACCATTTCTATCTTTATCAAGAGTTGAAAATATCCAAAAATTATCTTTTACTGCTTTCAGAAAATGCTCTTTTATTTTAGCTGCAATCCACTTTTCTAGTTCATTTTGACTTAGAAGATCGTTATTATTTATATCGGCACTGAAAATATTAAAGTTCTAAATTAGTAAAAAAATATTTTAGGATTTATTAAGTTTTATAAATTATATTATATTATTTAATCAGTAAACTTATTTAATAAAAATGTATGCAATTATTTTTAAAGTTTTATTATGTGCTGATTAATATACTAATAATGTAAATCTCAAATCTGCTTCTTTAAAATTCAAACTAAAAATAAAACATAGGTCACAACTTGCAATTTTTGCTTTTGATACATACAATTTAAACTGATCTTAAAGAAATTTCTATGCATGGATTAAAGAAAGTTTAATAAAAAGCATGAACATAATTAATTCATTATAATGTCCATAAACTTTAGAGCATAACTGGTCCAATCCATTCTGTTTACAAATCATTGCTAACTCAAAAAACTTCTTTAAAAATATTATTTTTTGTTATTAATGATAAAAGTGAAGAATGAAATCAAATTTTTTTGTTAATTTTAAAACATATACAATTAAATCCCTCAGCAGCAATATTTAATAGAACAAGAAATAAATATATAACAATAAATATAACTATGAGTGTTTTGAAAAATTAAATCCTAATTTTTTGTGAAGAAGGGAAATTTCTACAGTTGTCAGAACAGAAGAAATATGTACTAGAGGAGACTTAAGAGATTTTATTGCATATTATTATTAATGTTGTATTATTTCTACAGTATATGTTAAACATCAAAATCTAAAATCAGTCAGAATTAGGGTTTTATGGTTCCAAGTACTTGAACTTTTCAAGTCTCTCTTCTTAATACTTGAAGAGTGAGTGCAAAGTAAAGAGTCAAAGTTTATATATTTTAAGTGATAAATAGAAATATCTTTAGTAATAATGCTTCAATGACAAATGATAAGGAATCAAAACAATTAATAAAGATAATCTGCTAATTGTATTTTATCTTTACAAATTAATATAGATTAAATACAACTGGCAGATTTAGTCTAAAATATAACTCTCTTAGTCTTTTGTAGTCACATCTACAATACTGACATTACAGCTTGCACAACAGAATTTTCAAGTCTATGTTTATTTTTCTATCAGTCATTACAAAATTAATCTTAGAAGATATTTATTTCAGTTCTTAGATCTTTAATATGTTGACTGACACTATCAAAAGGATTAGTATATTTTAAAGATTATTATAAAGATAAATTTTCAAAATCATAGCATCCAGTAAAAACTTACAGGTAAATTTCTGATTATGAAAATATACATTACTGAATTAAAAACATGAAAACAGCATATATAAAACAAAACAAGACAAACACTTTTACAGTAGAGTCTCGAAAATTCGGCACTCGATAACCCGGCAGTCCGGATAACTCTGCCACACCATGGCAGGGCAAAAAAATCCTTAGTTAATTAATTTTCATTATAGACAGCTTTATGCCTCAAAGTATTTTTCTGAGGTCTGTCTTATCAGGTAAATTACTGTACACAGTGTATTCATTTTCTTTTTCATGTAGTAAATGCTCTATGCCTTCATAAAGGACGTACTTTTGCTTTGTTTAAGGGTATTTGAGCAGTTTATTCTCTGTTATATTCTCAAGCAAACAATACATACAAGTACAGTACAGTATTTTCTGAGGAAACACTCATACTTATTTTTTTTTAACCCCATTCCCAATAACCCAGCATTTTCACAAACTCGGCCACCCTTCGGTCCACAGGCCGAGTTTTCGAGACTCTACTGTATTAGTGTTTATAATCAACATGGAAGATATGTACTGTACCAAAAGTTGAAGCAGAGTTTAAACAAAATATTACAACTCCATCTTTTGCTTTGAAAAATACATTTGTATATGTTGAAACTATGGAAACAGAAATAATAAAACATATTCAATAAATTAAAAGGTTAATGTCAGAAGTTTTTGTTTTGATTAAATCATTAAAATATGTAATAAATTTATCAATCAAATCAGGAAAGTTTTCAATTTGTCTAAAAAAGAAATTTGTACTTCCAATTTNCAGAATTTGATGATTAGAAATAAATAAAGTATAACAATTATGGTTGTATATTTTAAACATTTTTATTAAACTTTTTCAAAATTAATAAGACTAACCTTTTCCAATTATTGTTCAACTGTTTATTACACAAAACATTAAAATTTATAATATAAACATTACAGATCTCTTAAGATCATATTTTCTAGTCTCTGTATTAAATAGAAACATCTGTTTAAGAAATTATCCTAAAGGTTAATATTAAGGTTAATTTTTAATTAGTTGTTATTTGCTTCAATGTCATTCTTAGTAATCTGGTCAAAGCTATCAAGATATGATTAATAAACTATTTGATATTCAATTACAAAGTTATTAATACTAATTAAAGCAAAATAAATATAAAAAGTAAAATACATCTGGATACGAGTCCAATTTTGCTTGCCATGTCCAATCACCAGAAACAACTATTTCCATTGCAGAGACAACCTTTCTTTAGAGGCTATGCCTCTGCACAAATATGCAAAACAGTTTAAAATGTCCTCAGGTGACAATCCCAACACAATTAAAAATATAATATTTCTTTGTAGAAAAGGACTGGCAGAATTACAATTTAATAAAAAGTAAAATACATCTGGATATGAGTCCAATTTTGCTTGCCATGTCCAATCACCAGGAACAACTATTTCCATTGCAGAGACAACCTTTCTTTAGAGGCTATGCCTCTGCACAATCCAGATGTATTTTACTTTTTATTAAATTGTAATTCTGCCAGCCCTTTTCTACAAAGAAATATTATATTTTACAGTACTTCCAATATTCAAAAAGGTGATAAAACAGATAAGACTATCAATCAATAATAATAGTTCCATTAAATACATACATTTACGGTAAAAACACCTATTCAAGATTGTAGTAATCAAAGTTTATTAAAGTGTAAAATAATAAATGATAATTTGGTTTCAAAACAGGTTCTTCTACTATAAGGGCTTTGTTGAATTATCAGAAATTTTTAACAAAAAATTTGGACACTTCAAAAACAATTGGCAGTAATAATGTACTTACTCAAAAAGCACACAACACCATAAATTTAGAATTATTAAGAATAAAGCTAAGAAATTATGGAATCTGGGAATTTGTATAATAGAAATTAACCAGAAAAATGATTCAGAACTTGTGGACAAACTTTAAAGGATGATAGAGCACGTGACAAAAATCATTTTTTGTGTAGGAAAGTATAGGCACAAGTGACGCATTGAGGCACAAACACAAGAAATAACACATGAAAGGAAACAAATTGTTTACTTACAGCTACATTGACAAATGTATCTTTACAGCAATGTTTACAATAATTGCTCAAAACTGCATCCACCAACAAGTAATACATGCTTGGCAGTGTTGATGGAGTGATTAGTGACAGTTTAAAAAATGCCAAGTAGCAAATATAATACACCAAGAGCTTGCAAAGAAACACAAACTGGTAGACATTCACGAACCATACTACAAATACATTCCATAGACAGTTTTGGAAAACAACATGCACAAAATGTACTACGACAGAGCCATAATCACAGATAAAACAATTTACCACAACAGAGCCATAATCACAGATAAAACAATTTACCACAACAGACCAGACATCCCACTCATTGACAAACACAATAAAATCGCATACATTATAGACATAGCCATTCCAAACACTCACAATGTACAAAACACATGCACTGAAAAAATTAGCGAGTACACAGAACTCACCCAGGAAATAAGGCATCTGTGAAGGATGGATAGGGTGCTTATTGTACCTGTTGTTCTCTCCTGTACAGGTGTGATACCACACACTCTACATAAAAGCCTGGGAACATTACAATTGAGTAGAAATACATACATCACACTACAGAAGGCCACTATATTGAATACATGTCACATTGTTAGGAAATTCCTGAATACAGACACACACACTGACACACTTATTTAATTTTAGTTTTGTTTTGGTTGCTATGCCTTGACTCTGGTCCGGCATAGTACACAGCCACCGCTGTGAACCGAGTATAACTCACAAAACCCAACATAATAATAATAAGTGCAGAGTCCAAATGGTTATGAGTTAAAGGTTGAAATTTGGAACACAGTTTGGGTATGTCATGAGAACATACACTAGGAAGGGATTTTTCAAAATTCCCCTGGAACAATGGAAATGTTAAGAGAAAGCAATGTGCAAGATGTACAGGCACAGATGTGGTTTTTGCAGGAAATTGAACATATTTTTAGAACCATCTAAAAATGTTCTAATTAGTCTGGAAATGGGGACCTAATTCTTGCATTCTGTGAAAACAGGTAAGATTAGCTATAATGTAATAATCTTAATCTTTGCTATCATTACTTTTTGCCTGAGCAACGCCAGGCTTATCTGCTAGTTTAGTAATATTATTTTTGTTTGATAAATAATATATCATAAACATATATAAAATACATGCCTACATATGGTATTATTTTTATTATTAAAATGAGGAATCTTATTAATACCTTATAAAAACACTTACATAGGTGTAAACCTATGTAAGTGTTTTTATTAAATATTGATCTAATTAGATGTTCAAATATAACATGCATAACAAAAACTGTTGTGGTTGCTATAGGAACATAGAATTAATTTACATTGAATCTAATAACTGTTTTTACCTAATAGATATGTTCCCAAAAAAACTGTATAAAAAAAAAATAATAATATTGTCTGTACAGCATAAGGAAAAATGGTATTATTAAGGTCTAGAAGATTGGTTCCAGATTTTAATAATACTTATTGTATTATTTTTACTGGTTTTTAAGGTCTGGAACCAATCTTCCATTTTCCTTATGCTGTACAGACAGTATTATTATTATTTATTTTTTTTTACACAGCTTTAAATTAAATCAGTTAATATAATAGGATGTGTTAAACGAAATATTTCAGTTTTAGTTAATAAATCAGAGAAGGGACAATGCAATTGCACAAACTTCAAATTAAATTTTTTCTAACTTTCAATCACAACATAATGTCAGACTGA